TGATGTTCAAAATTCTATTGGTTTGGTGAATATTATTTATGACTTTTGTCATTTTCTATTTACAATATGGAAATTTTTAAAAAATACGCTATTTCCTCTACAATTCACGGCCAACCGAATATTAAACATGTTTTTCTTTTTCGAATTTCCCCGAATTATGTACATCCCAAACACTGGTGGCGCTCTCACTTCCGTTTCATTCGAATTGAAAGCGCCGCTGTATGAGTTCACCAGACTATCCTTTGGAGCAGTATGACGTAATGGGATTCAGCGAAAATAACCTCCAAGCGGAATTAAAGTATTCTACAGTAGTCACGAACAAAAGTTCTGCAGTTCTTATACAATAAATGAAACAGACAACATGTACATTTCACTGGTTTATTTACACATGTCCGGATTACATTACAGACAGCTGAATGGCTATATTCTGCAAGTTAAACAGTAGGTCCATAACACAAAATTGTAACTTGTCAACACAAGTAGAAAAAAGAATTATGTGTAATCGATACAATCATTACTTAACTCAATCATCTCTGTCCGAAAACATGAAATTGAATAGCACCCAATAAATGTGCATTAAAATTATACTTTCTATGAAACGACAACATCTCAATTTACAAAGTTCATGGTCAGGTAAGGAGACACAAAGTTACGAGTCAATGCAAAGCTATTCAAGAGATCCTGCCTGATTGGCTACCCAACATTAACACATAACAGTTAAGCCAATCAGGAAGAAGCTTGTTTGTTGACAGTTTTTTTTTTTTTGATGTATAAAGTTCTGTCATGTATATATGCTTTGACTCAATGTTACCAGGCACTATGCAAATATACTCTTGGCAGTATATGGCAGCAGTGACAATCTTCATCAATACAAGTGTCAAAAGGTAGAACAGACTGGGAGCTGGGTTTTGGTCTACCCTAACAAGCACACATATTCAGTGTGTGGTGACATTACTCAAAACGACACATGATTTTCCCAGCCTTGCTTTCATGTATCATTACCCTTTTCATCACCAGTTCCCTTTTTCATCAGAAATTCCCAACATAGTTTATAGTCTGCACTTTCCTTCTGAAGATTGGGACAAAAATATCCAATTTTTTTGAGTAAAAACTAAAAATTGACTCAAATTTTGTCTGTTGACTTCAAATTATTGGTTCATTTCCGAAAATATTAAAGAATATAAGAAAAGAATGCAGAAAAATTTGGATGAGGAAGTCTGGTGGTGAAAAGGTTAATTGGTAAGCCATATAATCTCAGATGTTAGAACCATTTGATTGGAAAGTCACAGAGACAACAGTGAGAAATAAAACACTCATTTAAATGACTGGTTATCACAGTAATTTCTTTCTAAACATCTCAAATTTTTACATACAAATTTAAAGGGAAAATGCACGAAAAATAAAGGCTTATCAATTTCACAGACTAATTCTGAAGCCTTTGGCATAACTGAAATATCTGGCAAGCCAATAAATCTGTCTTGTGCTGTCTATTACATTTTCGTACAAGAATGACAAAAAATAAATTTTAAAATTCAGCAAATATGGAATATTGCAAAATGAAATATGAAGGGAAAAGTGGATATTTTTCACAAATTACAGCATCAATTTTTGTTTTTGGAAATTCATTGATTAATTTTATACATGAAACATGCATCAAAACTTGAGAAAAGAATTTAAGTTATAATTATTTATTTTGAAAGTACAAGACTAAATAGGTCTTCTAAAAAGCTGCTGCAAGTTGTTGTCACTGAGCAAGTTTGTGATGTCACTGCTCATGTAAGTGATGTCACTGCTCAAGTTTGTGATGTCACTGCTCATGTAAGTGATGTCACTGCTCATGTAAGTGATGTCACTGCTCATGTAAGTGATGTCACTGCTCATGTAAGTGATGTCACTGCTCATGTAAGTGATGTCACTACTCAAGTAAGTGATGTCACTGCTCAAGTTTGTGATGTCACTGCTCATGTAAGTGATGTCACTGCTCAAGTAAGTGATGTCACTGCTCAAGTAAGTGATGTCACAGCTCAAGTAAGTGATGTCACAGCTCAAGTAAGTGATTTCACTGAAAATTGCATACAAATAAAGTTGCAAAGAAACACTGCAATGTATTGTGAAGTTCAATGGACCTTTTTTTCTGTTTTCATAACCATGAAATAAAGTAAATGTCAGATACCAGTACATAAACTATGAATTTCTCATTTATGCATGGTAAGTACATGTAAATTGCTAAATAAAAATATCCTTTACTTTTTTTTTTTAAATACACCAAATAATTGTAATTACGGTATGTGTCTCACCAGGAATGAAAAGTAAACTGTGCGTAATCATTATAATCGACATAATACATTTTTTTTTTAATATAACAGAAAAATAAATACACTGAAACTATTGCAACAAAGTAACCTGCATGAATGAGCTTTCATTACACCACATAAATCAACATCGCAACATTTTGGGGAATTGTGAGGTACAATAACAATTACTTATAAACTTGTAAACCAGACTGTGATGAAAAGTATACAACCTGCAGGTGAGTCGTCAGCATGCAGAATGTATATAGTGCCACCAACGTCAAGAAATTGTTAGGTATAAAACTTCACATTTAACACACCAACCAAATTTGTACAGGAGATTAGAAAGTCAATTTATGAATTGTCATGACAACACACCAGTTACATCAGCGGAAACAGCAGTTAATCAAGACTTAGTACTGAGATTTCAAGACAATTTACACATAGGAACAGTCATTAATATGTTTTTATGGAGAACATTCAGGTGGAGTACATGGCCAGGTCTGTTGAAAATCATTACCCAATCAGAAATAGTTTTATATACGACTGCAAATAACATTAAACTTCCAATAGAAAAGTGTGTTTCAAATAGACATTCTGATTAACAAAATACTTCTTATTGGATAAAATCATTGTGATGTTAAATGTAAGTTTGACAATCAAAGAATGTGTCACACTCAGTGAAAAATCTTGTGATGGTTAATAGCAAGTTAATGAATATGCAAATGTGACCTAACAAGATTTCAGTAACTATAAGTTTACATTATTCAGATTACATGGCCCACAAACACCTCTGGTTGCACTTGTGACGACAAGCAGGAGGATTGTTATAAGTTCCCTCATTACAGACTATAGTAGACATTGGTTATCTCCTGACATTTGAATCACATACATGTGAACTTCATGACGACAGGCAAAACCACAAGTGTGAATGAAACGATTCCTTAACTTTTTTTCACCATTAGTTCCTTCTTTTCATCACAAAAATTGTTCCATTTATACTCTTTTATGCACTTTCCTTGGTGATTGGAAGAAAAATAGCCATTTTTGAGTAAAAAATTCAAATTGACTCAAATTTTGTCTGTTGGCTCCAAAATTAGGGTTCATTTCCAAAAACATTGAAGAATATAAGAAAAAAGTGCTGAAAAATGTGGGCGAGAAAGTCTGGTGGTGGTGAAAAGGTTAATTCAAATTAGGTATTTCCTTTGAAGACTGGTAATAATTATCATACATACAACAATGTTGGAATTTACATACCATTTACACCACATAAATATCGATATGCAATCCTGAGCTGAAAGAGGCTGAAAAGTCGTCTCCCTAGATTGGCAAACAACTTCCATGAAGTAGTCTCCCTAGATTGGCAAACAACATGTACATGTAGTTTTCGTCCAGAAAGCTCCCACAATGAAGTCTACTTAGGCCTGTCTAGGTTAGGAGTTCACCAAAATTGGTAACAAAATTCTACAAAAATGTCTATCTAGACAAGTGGTTGTAAACTACTTTAAAAAGTGACTGGTTAGGTTAATAATGTCTGAAGAAGGGCACCCTAGGCTAGTACATACATGTATCTTCACAACTGACTAGAATTTACGATTGAATGTTGGTTGCATATACCATCAGATGAGAAGACAATTGTAAAACAAATGTTTGTGACAGACCCCCTAACTACAACTACTTCACACTATTTACAGACCCCCTAACCTACAATTCCAACACCCAATTCTATCAGCTCACTGCTTGGCATATCCACATCCACATCCACATCTCATCAGTGGATACAACTGACCGCTATCTAACACTTCTTTCAAAATGACCAACCTAACAATGACATGCTCTCTAAAACTACTGTAAGTACAGTTGTGATCTACTGGAAGTATTTGTGTGTAAAAACACATAGTAGATTTCTTCCTGAGAATGCAATGCAGTAGTAATTAGTATGTATATATATATTCACTATGATGGTTCCATGCTATCACTTCAGATGACTTGCTGAGCTTTAAATGCACTCTGACACGGAGTGTACCACTGTCTCATATCAATCATGACATTATAAGCATTGTTTTCTTGGTGCTGAACGATGCAATGTGAATGACCTAAAATTGTTTCAAATCAGTGCTTGTTTAACTGTGATTTTACATCACAATTTAGAGGTTTCAATATTGACAGATTTTAAAGAAAAATGGAGCCAATTCTGGTATTTATAGTGCATTCAATTGAATGACACCTAAGTCAGCATGCAAGCATACAATGAACTGAAATGCAGACACAATGAAACCCACAAAATGACATGCTACCGCAAAGTGGAAATCATCAGTTGATCATATTAGCATGTTTTGAAACTCAAATTAAAACAGTAGTGTTGATAAATACATTCTGATCTGTGGATATTAAACAACTGAAACAGCCTATTGACAAATATAAGTAACTTGAAATTAAAAACTGCCGCATTAAATTGCATGTTACTTTTGTTCAGCTGAGCAACCCCATGGAAAGCCTAGTTTAGTCGCACAAACTCTCCTACCGGTATTATGCAAATAGTCAATATGCAAATTAAGCAAAACATTGGTTGAGTATCATCTTACTGTTAACTATTCCACCAATCAAAAGCAGTGTATTTGAGTGGTTGGCACATTTGTATATATTTAAATTCCTCAGACATAAGGTGAATTGTCAGTCACATTAATCATGAAAACTTTATGTCGCCAGTAGATAACTGCACTGATGATTAAACCAGACAAACTCAGAACAGAAGGATTGCATTGACTGGCAGAAAATTCAATAAAACCATATTTCTCATTAATAATAAGCATTTTAGTCTTGTAGAATAACTGAAAGATGAAGAAAACAATAAATTTCATTGAACAGAATGAATTATTCAAGTTCATAAATTATATTTTAGTCAAGACTTTTTTTCTCCCCTGTTCCAACTCTCTGCGGTATAAGACATGCAACCTGGTTTACCGGCAACCTGCACAAAAACACATAACGGATAGAATGTTTAAAGCGTCTTCGCACGGTTATGCAATGCACAATCTTGTTGATGTCTTTATCATTTGATATATCAGTGTCAATTATTAGACAAAACCCCATGCTTCTAAGCCTTCCACTACAAAGTCTTCATGTTCTGATAGGCAGTCATTGTTAAACGTTTGGCATGGATGGCTGTTTCCATGGTAGATGTCCCCATCCAACCATAATCCAAAATAGCCACTGTGAATAAAAAGATAATAATTATTCAATCACAATGGAATACATCTCATTGAAAGATAAAAACAAAATGGTAATTCATGAGTGAGTTTTTGTGAACTTGATGCCTCAACATCTTGCAAGTACTCAAATCAAGTGTGCCATCTAAGCCATTTTAATGTGTCATTTTTGCAATCAAAAACTTGATTAAAAAAAAAAAATATTACTAAAGATTAGATGTCGCTTAGAATCTTTTAAAAATCGCTAACTGATGAAAGGGAAGACACCAAACTATTGTACATCCCCCCTACCCTGTCACAAATCAAACCCAATATGTTGCTACGCAATGTGTTTTAACAATGCTATCCACCATTCTATTTTTTTCTTTTGACTCACAAAAGTCACAAATGACTGCAAGTTAGAGGGCACACTGCTTACAGCACTATGATGTGCTTGAAATGGGTCACATGCAGCATAATGATGTGGAACATCAACAACAACAAAAATGAGCTTCTTTTGAAGAAATTCAATCTTGATATATCCACATCCCTGATCAAGGATAGAACTACTGCCTAGTGATCAACAAGTAGGTTAAGGGTTTAAGGTACTAATTCCCCAATGAGGCTATAGAATAAAGTACTATGAATGCATTAATTATTCAATGGGTTTTAATTCAGCTATATTCACTGATATTCAAATGTAAAATAACAATAGAACACATTATTTCCTTGGTAAATTCAAGAAAAGTGCTCAAAATATCAAAAGTTGAATTAAATGCCAGTGAAAAGAAATGGTTTTACAGTACCAAGCAGTAGTGTTACTACAGGGGCAGAGCATTTGGTATTTTGGAACACACTGGGTTGGAAGACATAGATGGTTTTCATTTGTCACAAGAATATACAACAGACTATGATATGAATGTCCAAGGTGATCATGGTTTTCCTTTAAAATAGAAGTCTACTCATGAATGGTAATACTCAGAATTTATTCATTTGGTTGGAGGTCACTAGCTTAATTTAATACATCACTGGAATACATAAAAGAATGCTATTTCACGGTGCCATGGAACAATAGCTTCATGAGTTTACCTAACAGACCAATAAACACTGTCATGCGATTTATGACCAACTTTCTCAATTATGCTTCTACCTTAATAATCAGTTTACCCTCCCCTCTTGCTCTTTACCGTAGGATAAACTGTTAACCGGTTTAAAATTGGTTGAGCCCTACTTATACTTACTCTCCACCTCCAATCGCTAAACTGTCAAAATCTCCTTTGACAAAGAAGTTGTTGGAACCAGTCCATGAGTATTTCTTGAATTCTGGTGTCAAGTTATAAAGAAATGTTTCTCCTGTGCCGTAGTAATGATCACTCACTCTGATAGGGGTGGATATCAATGCACCAAATAACTGGAGAAAACAAACACAAACAAATATATTTAAAATCAACAGCACAACTCACAGCGCCCTCTAATGCTCATATACAGGAAAAACATTTTTTATGAAAGAAGATAATTATTGTAATTGTAAATATTGCTCTACCAGGAATGCACCTTTAAAACCTCTAAAAGTTATATGCCAAAGAACACAGCACCAGGCCAGGGCTCAAAAATCACCAGTAGCACAAGGCACATACTTGTCAAACCTGGTGCTACAATTTTTCAAAATTAGTAGCCCGTCTGGACTACTAGAAATTTACCATTTTTTTTTTTTAAGTGAACCAATGGTGTCCAATCAATTTGTGCAAAGTGACATTTATTTATTTATTTATTTATTTCTATCAATACTTTTCTGCATGTCTGTCACCAGATGGGATGAACTACTGAATATTATTATGGGACTACCAGCTCTAAAAACAGGCAGCCAAATTTATTAATTTTGATCCCTTTAAGCAAACCTAAAACTCAAATCCATTAGTCTCAATTAATTTCTTCCTTCTCAAGTTTTTTATTGAGACACCAGAGATTGTTGTTATTAAGAGCAATAAGATATTATTTAATAATTTTAACTCACATTATCCTTGGAATCCTTGATGATCAGCAGGACTGGGGAATCATAGCCATTCATACTACGATACAGCGTCTTTAAACTAAAACCATGTTCGTAAGTACTGTAGATCAAGGCCCAGCTGTATCCCTCAACACGAGGTGGCAAATGACAAATAAGCTAAAAAAAACAACAGACTTTAGAAAACACAGGATGAGTGATATCATGTATAGTGAGAAGTCAGTCAAAGTAGTTAAGTGAGATCAGTGTTGCTATACCTACACTGACATATTTTTTTTAGCGAGAGAACCAATTCGCTAATTTAAGATGTCGCTAATAACTTCATTATAAATTCAAAATGGCGGCCAAACAACGTCTTTTTCTCTACACACACACTTTATAAACACAGAAAACGTAATAATCTGGATCGCTTCCGTTATTACACTTGACAGTTTCTTTGTTTTTACGGAGGTAAATAACAGAGCATTTGTTTTGGCAGGTATTGTGAAAACAGGAAATCAACAAAGACGAGAGAGATTCGCTGAATCAACATTTCGCTATTATGTCATTTTACCACAATTTGCTAAAATAGTATGTCACTTTTTCAACATGTTTTACAGTATATAACCGAGTTGTATCAGGTCTATGATTGTACAAATGATTTAAACTTACCTTACTGATCTGTTCAGTACTTAATAAACTACATTTCCCAATCAATTCTGGCAATGGTAACTCTTCCCCTTCAAGTAAGGACAGTCTTCTTTTAGCTTCTTCAATTGTTACAATCTGTGATCACACAATACATAAACGTTATATTCAGAGAAAGGTACACTGTTTTGTCTTACTCTAAACACTTTAAAATTAAAGGGAGGAAGTCGTCACCTGCACATGCGGCTAACAGCCATAGTGTGCTGTTGTTTACAAACAAGCGTCTACCTATGAGCCTTTGCGTTTGTAATGTGCATTGTTATCACACGACTTCCCGTTTTAACAAGTTTGTGGAGTCGCCAACTGCACATGTGGTAGATGACCATAGCGTGTTGTTTACAAATAAGCTTTTACCCATGAGCCTTTGTGTCTTCAGTGCGTGCTGACTCAATTCTCACCTGTGTACAGGTGACACTCGCTCTGCTTTAACAGAGACTGCCAACCTCAACAGCAGTCGTCTAACTAATAGTTGGCGACTCTGACACGATAATATAAATTTCTACACAATAAATGGCAAAGTTGTTCAAACACCATGTATGTACTTGACACAGTATGAAATGTCAGGACACTTGATTCAACAGCACAATCTCAGAAAAGTTGTTTGAACTAAGCTGTTCTAATCAAGTAATGATCTTGAGACACGCATTGCAAACAAGTCAGCAACTTACGGTAGCTGGTAATGTTGCTGTTTTGATGTTCAGAACAATATGACAGCAACAAATCAAACATTTGTCACTCTAACAGTACGCACAAGTGTTGACAGTCTGTGCACTGTAAGTGTATGTCAACATTCAACATACAATAAATACAAATGGAGTAGTTCTATAATTGTATACCTGATGTAATACAAGAGTCTCAAATTTAGGAGTAAAAGTTCTATACCAGATAGGGCTTGAACATTCCTGTAAATTATTCACTGGATTGTAACTGCACTCAATAATTAAATCAAAGAGAATATTAAAGCGCGGTAGTCGTAGTCGCATGTGCAAGATATATGGATCTCATATAAACAAAGATGGTGACTTGACTGTTGCGCAGATCAACGAGTTCGAAATGAGACATTTCCAAGCTTTAATTAAGCAATTTTCATGTTATTGGAAGGTATCGAAGGAGTCACCGGCGGTAATCAGTGCAAGACGCGCCCAGGTCTAACCTTATACTTTTGATTTCCATTTGAAGAGCGCATTGGATTGTGGGAAAATCAATGTTTATCAACACAAATGTTGCACATGCGCAGCGCGACGACTACCGTGCTTTAATCACTCATTCTTACTACATGTAAACTTGGAACAAAGGTGATTATAATGTGTTAATCAGTGTACAAGTAACACTTCTGATGTGGGATCCTGTAAACCTGCATATTTAACTGTTAAAATATTAAAAACCTGTCCATTTTTTAGCAAATTACAACTGTGAATATCATACTGAAATGCATTCTAAATTTATGTGAATTCTTCACTATAACACTCAGAGCATGATGAATAAACTTTACATGCAGTAGATGGTCAGATTTGTGCTTTGCAGCATAACAATGAATCATCAGTAAGCTAAGCAAGCGAAAATGTGTCATGACATTTTTCTGATGAATTCAATGTCTGTTAACTTATACAAAACTTTCATTCACCATATATTGTTTGAAACCTGAAATATGGATTTGAACATACATAGTCACTTATCACATGAAAGACTAATTGCCAAAACAACTAAATTCATGATATCCGAACAAATTTATGGGAGACACTAAATGTTACAAAGTCCATGTTAACATCTTTGACGAGCCATTATTCCATGACAAGAAATTGTTTTTGCAAAAAACAGACAATTCACATCTCTCCTTGTCTTGTAAATCATTGGTGTAAATTTGAAAGTAGATTTTTGACAGGGTTCTATTAGTTACATTTGTTATTCAATGTTGAGAAAACATAGAAAAAATGTCGTGACTAGTATTATTCATTGTTACATCAATTGTCAAACATTACTGTTCCATGTTTGCTTACTGTTGAAAAATAAACTAAGTATAGTTCAAATTAAATATGCGCTTCATCTAAACTTCTAAACAAATTTTATGCAAAACATAGCAAGGCTAGTTTGTTAATCACTCATTTGACTAGTATTGCAACAAAGGTAAGATTAGCTACTCTCAGCCCAATGAAGGTATTCCCCTTCAGTTTCATATATCTTTATAAATTCCAATGCCAATTGAAGTTGAGTCAATCAACATGCAGAGTGCAATTTCATTTAAAAATGTTCCAGTGTTATTCAACCACCCAATAGAAATCTTGTTTCAGTTTGAATTGTAAAATTTACTCCCTTAAAAATGTGCCTCAACAATCTTTTCCCACCCTATTTTCTAGACTATGTTTGTAAACCTTCAAAGTTTTTAACCAAATGAAAAAATAAAATAACATCGAAAATCCAATAATCCAAGGTCGAAGGTTATTTGACCATCTCACTTTACCGTCATTTGACGCACAAGGTCCACTTCTCGACAGTTGTACGTAGCTACTTCTTGTAGCTCCAACTGTTCTATCACATCTATGGATCCATTTTCACCCGTATTACTACTGTCATCTTTTTTTTGTGAAACAAAGATACATTCCAAA